TCCAGTCTGGGCGACCGAGTGAGACTCAAAAAAAAAAAAAAAAAAAAGAAAGAAAGAAAAGAAAAGGATTGGCAATAGTGGGGAACTACCCCGGGGGGAGGGGGGTGAGGGATTGGCAGTAGCGGGAAACTGCCAAGGGAGGGCGGCACACCTCATCAACGAGAGTACCTGCATAACGAACATTTGCATACCTAACCCTGAATTGTACCCCACATCTTTTTTTTTTTTTTTTTTTGAGTTGGAGTCTCACTCTTGTCACCTAGACTGGAGTGCAGTGGCCGCTCCCGGCCACCGCAGCTTCGACCTGCTGGGCTCCGGCGATCCTTCCGCCTCAGCCTTCCGAGTAGCCGGAATTACAGGCGCGTGCTACCATACCTGGCTGATTTATTTTTTACTTATTGTAGAGATGAGGTCTCGCTGCCCAGGCAGGTCTCAAACCCGCAGGCTCAGGCAGTCCAATCACCTCAGCCTCCCAAAGGCGTGGGATTACAGGCTGAGCCACTGAGCCCGGCTGTATCCCACATCTTTAAAAAATTTAAAAAAAGAAATTAGGAAATTAGACTACACAATAAAGTGAAATTTTTTAAACAAACAAAAAATGCCGCTGATTATACACAGTTCACACATTAATGCAAATATTGCATAGTGAGAAAACATCTAACCTAAGCTAAAGTGAATCATTTAAAATTCTAACATTCTGCCAATATCACCTTTGAACTTTCCTTGTCTGGATCCAACTCGGATATCTCAATTACTTCAACTACACTTCCAAACCAGCATCTAAACAACACAGAGCACAAAAGACTTCAGGTTTTATAAGTTTTTAAAATTTTTTTCTTTACTTGGTATTCTATCTATTTGTAATGGGTCTCAGGTAGTGAACACTGTATTCCATAGGTAACTTCTGAACCCTAATCTCCCTTCCCCTCCTCCCTTATTGGTATCCCTGGTGTCTATTATTTCCATCTTTGTGACCCTTTAGCTCCCACATCTTAGTGAAAACATGTGGTGTTTGGTTTTCTATTTCTGAGTCAGTTCACTTAGGATGATTTATCTCCAGCTCCACCCGTGTTGCTATAAAGGACATGATTTAATTTGTTATGGCTGTGCAGTATTCCATGGTGTATATATACCACATTTTCTTTATCCAATCAGTTGTTGGTGGGCACTTAGATTGGTTCCATGATTTTGCTACTGTGAAAAGTGAACTAGAAGTTACTTTTTCAAAAGCCTATTTTAATTTTTTTTAATAAAAAAAAATTTTTATTATAGAGATGTGGGGTACAAGTAACTCAAGTAATGATGGTCATCATTAATAAGTCAAAAAACAACCTGCTGGCACGGGTGTGGAGAAAAGGGAACACTTCTACACTGTTGGTGGGAGTGCAAGCTAGTTCAACCTCTACGGAAAGCAGTACGGCAATTCCTAAAAGTACTAAAACTTGACCTTCCATACGATCCAGCAATCCCTCTCCTGGGAATATACCCTGAGGAACATAAATCATTCTACCAAAAATACATCCACACACGCATGTATACAGCCACACTATTCACAATAGCAAAAACATGGGAGCAACCATACTGCCAATCAAAAGCGGACTAAAGAAAATGTGGTACATATCCACGATGGAGTATTACGCAGCCATAAAGATGATACATAAACTCATATTGATGAAGATACACTGCTGATCAAATAGAAACCCAAGATTTCCAATCCCTCTGTAAAAGCACTCTATTAAATTATATTTAAGTGCTTTATTAGTCAAAAACTTTAGAGTTCTTCAAAATATAGGGGTTTGCTGCTAGTTCTGGTGAGCTATCAATATCTAATTTGTCAATTGGACCTAGAACATCTGTTCATTTACTACAATTTTACAAGAGTCACTTCATCTTCAATTTCAGGAAATAATTATGGAGTTAGTATGTCCATTATCGCTTCCTTTTTAGACAGAGGACATTAAAGTGCATTTTTTTTCCTTATCAAGTTCTTCGCACCATGCTCACCAAATAGATACACTACTACTCCAGTAAACTGCTTCCTTTTGAGGTAACTTCAAAACTTAGGACTGCTTTTAAATAATTTCATCAAGTTCTCTTTTCACAAAGCCTAAAATACAGTTTGCGCATGACTTGTTTACCTTATAAGCTTCCCCGTTCTCCTTGATTGGATATTTTCCCATAACTCAAAATTGTACTTTTCATGTGGTATTATCTGATATTGCAAGCTACTTGTGTATCCTCATCCACCTCCAGTACCCACATGGAACAAATACATCTTGAGCTTCCCATATGGGCTTTTAAAAATAGTTTAGTCTTTCAGTAGGTTGCAAATGCATTTGTAATGCTCACACTTTGTTATGATATCTTCTAAAAAATGTGAGTGCCATCATTACTGATTTCCTCAGTGTCCTCATTTACCAAAACAGTGTACTTCATTGTGATTATTGTTACATAGAGGCTAACCCACAGTTATCTCTTCCTATTTTTGCTGATAGTTCTTGGTTCTGTAGTATTTTGTGGCAAAAATACCTACCAAATAGCTTGGCGATGGGTTCACTTCCCTATACCTTCCTAAATTCAGTGGACTTGGAAAAAAAGTAAAAATGAATCTTTCAGTTTTTTGATACAGCTACAAAACAATTCTAAAATTTGAAAATACATCATTGATTAAAAATACATAGTATGTACTTTACGACAACATACTCTGGGAAATGTGTGTATTCATTAACTATATAATAAGAAACTTCTATTGTTAAGAAACAAAAATTAAATCCCAATCTTCCTTAATTAGTATTTTAAAAGGATTTGACTGAAACACTCAACCCCAGAAAGGATACAGTTGTTCCTTGCTTTCTACAATAAATGGGTTCTTACAAATATGTAAACCAAAAATTTAAAAACCAAGTCACATTTTCATTTTGGAGAAGCACTGAAGTAAATCCTAATCCATGAATATAGTTTCAGATTTAAATCGAGGAATAGCAAGTTGGAGACAGAAAGAGAGAAAGACCCTTCATTTACACAATGCTTGCACTTCCTACTCTTTTATTTTGCATCTGAAATTTCTCATGCAAAACACCAACTTTCAGAGTTGACAGAATCATGAAAACAACTTTTCACTATTATAACCTCACTTCTCTAACTATCTGAGGAATAGAGATCCCTTCCCCATTTACCAATCTGGAATCCCAGATAGATAATGCCCAAATTCTAATTCCCCCTTTATCATCTTAAACCAAAGTCCTAAATCACTGTTAAGACAGATTTCCTTCCTGTTTTTAATACAAGGGCAAATATCAAGTAAATAAATGGTAAACATCTTAAGTACTTCCATTAAATACTACCTATATAAAGAGTCTAGTTTGCCCCATCATTCCCATTGTGTTTTGGAGTCTCTAAGAGAAGTCATCTCCTTCTCCATTCAAATATTCTTTCAAGAATATCAAAATTTCTAAATCTTTCTTATTTGTACCGCAAAACTACAATTTACTACTAAATCTGTGTTTGCATTATTTTCTCGAAGCTGTAGTCTGGGAAAGACCTCTAAGTTCTGGAGCAGCAAATAGGAGACACTGCTAAATAATCTCATGTTGACTTACAACTAATGGCAGACAATTTCTACATGTCCCACAAAAAAATGGGTCTGTGAAAATGAAAACCTCACAGATCCGCCTCCTGAGGACATTCATATTATTCCTTGACCTGCTTTACCTGTTCTTCAGCTTATAATACACTGATACAAATTTAAGACTTAGACAGGAGGTACCATTATCACTAAAATAACAAAAACAACAAAAACCATTTAGTATAGAAACACTCTCAGGAAGTTCAAAAGGAAGAAATGTAAGGTGATCATTTTGCTTGTCTCCGGAGGCAGATGGAAGAATGGAAGAAGTCTCCTCAGACACATAAAACACAGAAATGGAAGGGTGGAAGAACTCTTAAAGGTTCTGTAAGTACTTCCCAATCCTGGTTGTATGTTAGAATTACCTGTATAACTTTAAAAATGTAGATATTTGTGCCTCAGCCTCAAACTACTGATTTAGACTCTCTGAGATTGGGGCCCTGCAAACAGTATTTTTTAAAAAGAACCCCAGACCAGAGTGGTGCTTCACACCTGTAATCCC